TGGTGGGGTTGTGGGGAGAAAGAAACCCTTCTCCACCGCTGGTGGGAGTGCAGACTGGTGCAACCACTGTGGAAATCAGTATGGAGATACCTCAAAGAACTAAGGATTAGAGGTCCCATTTGACCCAGCTATTCCCCTCTGGGTATCTTCCCAAAAGAATTAAAAGAACAGTACACAGTGATATATGTTCACCCATGTTCATAGAGGCACAGTTTGTAGTAGTTAAAACTTGGAGGCAGCCCAACTGCCTATCAACTGGAGACTGGATAAAGAAAATGTGGGGTTTTTTTAAATAAAATGAATTACTACTCAGCCATAAAAAATGAAAAGCTAGAGACATTTATACCTAAATGAATACATATTGAGGCCACACTCTTAAGTTAAATAAATGGGTCACATATGTGTAAATACCAAATAGTTTCTCTGGTGTGAGAAACTGAAAGTGTAAACAAGGATCAAAATGTATAATAGATAATGTGAAATAGGAAGAAAAAGTCCAAAGGGAAAGAGGAAGTAGGAGGGGTGGGGAAAAGGAAAGGGAAAGGAATAAATATGCAAAAAGGAAAACATGGAAGCAAAGTCTTTGGAAATAGCGAGAGATAGAGGGGTTAAAGGGAGGGCAGGGGAATGGGGAGAAAGATAAGAACAGAGATATATTAGGTAAAGCTACAAATTCTGAATAATGATGTCAACATACTGTATACTAAAATGAACCAATAAATTAATGAATGAGAAAAAAAAGCAAAGCAGAGTTGATCAGAACGTTTCACTGTGAAATTCAGTGAAAAGGGCATAAAAGAAAGATTGTTTTTATTTTCTACTTAATCTCTTTTGTCATAATAAATATAAATACTCAATACATTTTGAAGTCCCTATAAAATTATACAAAAGACGAATGACATAACACTTTATTATTGTCAGCAACAATTAAGGATGAAATGTTAACTTCTAATACTTGATTTTCCAATAAATCTCAGGAAATAGTTTGGTATAATTACAATAAAATCACAAAGTTTAGATGTTTTTCCTTAAAATGCATTATTTAATTTATTCTCAGTCTTTAAATTTCTTTCAGCAATAGAAAGGCATTTTGGAGGTGAATAAGTTAAGCATTAATAGATTAAATAATTATATTTATAATCTTCACCACTGGTACAAAACCAAGAAATTATATACCCTTTTTCCCTAGAAATGAACTCTGGAGACAAACAGATTAAGAGTTCAAATCTCAACTCTGCCACATACTAGTTGTGTACGTTTAAGGAAGTTCTGCAACTTTCTATGTCTCTGTTTCTTCTTTGTGAAATGAATATAATACATAATGTATAGGACTACTGTTGAGGTTAAATGGTACACTGTGTGGAAATGTCAGACATGGGATCCAAATGGTACTCAATAAATTATCATGAATATTTTTCAGAAAATATAAACTCTGTCATTTTTAATAATATAAATGAAAATAATGGGAAGGATTTCTTAAGCCTCAAGATGCTAAAATAGTCATATAAATCGTCTTTTATATGATTCTAATGAGTATTTAAGTCAGGATGGATTTGAGAATGGTTTATCCAACCTGAAAAATGAAGCATAAATAAATCTATTTGAATGTTCATGGTGATTCTAAGTTTAAATGAGGAAGATTATTTAAATAATTAAGCAATTAATCTTCAAAGATGCAATTATTTTGAGTTTTTACCTATTTCTTATTTATTTATTTTTTCCTCACTGAGTTTATTGGTACCTTTTAGGTATCCAGTACAGTTCCATTCATCATTAGGATCTTGTACCCTTACATGACAGGTCTTGGTTCTCACTTTTTCCCCATACCCCTGCCCCCGCTTTGCCTATTTCTTAGTGATTACTTACTCCAAAGTTTAAAAATCAGAAGTGAGAGAGAGAAAAGAAGAGGATTAACAAAGAGTTAACATCCTATGGTCATGTGTGTCAACTCCCCACTAGGAATGTGATCATGGAGTGAAAACATGTACTAATAAAAAGAAGAACTAAAAAAATTAAAACAATAAAGCTGAGAAATAGTATGTAGTTGTAGAAAGAATATTATACTTGAACCTGCTTTCCAGAATGTTTACCAGTTTGTGAGAACTCTGATAATTCTCTTAACCATTCTTTTGGTCATCCTTCCCAAGTTTAAATTTACTAGATTCCATATAGGAACTAGAGATCGGACATGCAAAGAAATGGCTCCAGTTAATATGAAATTAATAATTAGAACAGAAACATCTTCTTCCTGTACAAACCAGATCAATACACTCTTTTGAACAAGCAAATAAATTAGGGAATCTTAACCTTGGTCCATCTGCTTACAGTTTAGTTTCATTCTAGTGCCACATGGCGTAACACTGATTCAATGGACACTTAGTGTATATTACATCTAAATATTACATATCTAGATTATAGCCAAAGGAAAATTGAATGTATTACTTTAAGATAAAATCTGTTTATAATGAGGTTGATATTAGATCCCTGAGTACACAAACTACTGGTATAAAACTACATCACTGACAATATTATAGTCAGGCATAAAACACAACTCAAGTTTATAGTCATTAAAGTTAATTAGTTATATTTTATGGAATACAAAATAATAAAACAAATATTATTTTAATTAATAGGTTTATAAAAGAATACTAAAAAGTAGTAAAAGTATAAGCCTGCTTAATTCAATCATTTTAATAATCAGTATCTGTACTTTTGCAAAAAAATAAAACTCTTTCAAAACAAGAATATGCAGTTTTTCAGTCTCCACAATTAACTGCATTGGAGTGGGTCTCATCTGAATTTTTTAAGTAAACAAATAAATTCGCAAGAGGCTTTACGAACAGGAAAACAACACATCATGACACTCTCAATCATCCTCACAACTGATATGCTCCCTTCTGGTTATAAAATGGCATCAACCAAAAAAATGATAATTTTTAAATTATGTTCTGGAGCCGGTGTTCTAGAACACCAACAATTAGCCATCATTCCTCTGCATTTCTTCATGAATTATCATTCTATACACCTCAAGCAATAATAAATAATGAGGTAGGTTTTTCTTCTCTCAAGTTAAATCTGGAAACTGGGTCAGATGGGTATATGGGTACCTAGGGGATGATGGGACGCTTATCTATCGGGAAATTTTGCTTTAGCTCAAAAACATGCTCATTCTTTAGGCAAACATTCGTCCTGCTGTATAGAAGTCTATGTAACACCACATGCACCCACAATAAGAATGGGAAGAGAAACGGGTGTGTGTAAAAAGAAAGAGAAACAGAGACAGATACTACCTATGCCTTTCTCTTGGTTCCAGCTTTGCGGTACCTAGCTCTGAAGCCTGGGTGATCCTGCCATACGACTGACCAACGATCTTGCCTTCACTGCTGGACTCCAGCTAAAGCAACATAGCAGCATCACAGCAAATGAGTTTCTCAACTCGTCCTGGCAGTTTTCCATTGCAATGATACAATTCTTCACTTTTAACGAGGTATAGAAAGGGAGTATCTTCAGGTTAAACTCAGAAACAAACCAGAGTAAGAGCAAGCTGTTCAGGTGTGCACACAAGACTCCAGCTAGGCAAAGTTGCTAGGTCACAGCTGGATGCTGAATAGGCACTCTTGGCTGAGAAATAACATACTGTTTTGGAGATGAAAAGATTAAAATGGTATAAATGCAGGAAGCTGCTTTACGCAGTAATGTTCTACTTAGGGGATTTGAAGAAGAACTGCACAGGCTGCCAAGAAGGAAACCAACCCCTACCAAAATGGCCAGTAAGACTTCTGGTATTGTAAAAGATAGTGTATCCTTGAAACGAGGTCTTTTAAAGGTCAAACAAACATTAAAGTTTTTTCCCAGAAAGGAAATCACTATATACTGCTAATTTTATTTGTGTAGCACAGTAACAATCATTTGATCTAACCAGTAGTGAGTTAAGGAGAAAAACTGAAATCCTTATGCAGTAGCAGCTCAATTGGAGTCTGAGTATCTTTCCAAAAACAAGTCAAAGACAGAATCTCCAAAACGCAAAGGTAAACGTTATCTACTGGGGGTGGGGGAGAAACAGAAACATTGAGCAGATGGATTACTAAACCTATGGATCCCTGGTACCCTCCTAATCCCAGAGCTATGTTTAACAACAGCTGTGTACAAACCTCTATTTTTATGCTCTGTTAACCTAATATGCCACTTATCATCTGAAATTATTCAGTGCCCTACTTTGTTAATTAAACCATTTACAGAGAACTTCTTCCTTTAAAGATCCAGACCAATGGCTTAATGAGCATCTCAGAACCATCAACTCAGAGGATTATTTATATTTTAAAGGAGAATATTTCCAAGGGAGAGAAAGAGATGACAATTCTGTAGTTCAGTGTAAAGGGAATCAACGTTTCCTTCCTTTAACATGTGCTAATTTAACTGCCATATTCAGAAATGTACAGGATTAAAGTTAGATACCAAAAAAGAATTTTACAAACGCAGAAACACAGCTCACTGCGCCAATATTCTTCCTGCTTTTCACATAGAACAATGTCATCTTCAGGAAGGAAAAGAATACAGAAAATCTGTGGTTTATTCTCAACCAGATGTCTCTATCAAATACACATTCAGCGAGGAGGCTACTGATGTGGTAGTAGAGACGAAGGAGAAGGAGGAAAATACCCCACCTCCAGCCATAAATCAACCCCTTCCCGCTTCTATGACAAGTCTCAGAGTGGCTTGGAGGGATAAAGCCCCTGCTCCTGAGACTGAACAGATTTAACCGAAGAAGCGGACAGAGAAAATCATGAAGTGAAGGCATATTTTGCTTGGCTTGGTCAAAGCAAATGAAATCCCCAGCTCAGGCACATGTCCTCCCAATGCAGCAAACGTGGGCATGAGCTCGGGGCTGCAACTGAGCTTGGAAATGCTGCAGGGGAGGATGCACGGAGGAAGGCGAACTTGCCAGTTCTGAGCTCCTGCGGGAGGCCCAGGGGTAAGGGTGAAAGCGATGCTGCCCATACCTTTCTTTTCCTTTCCATGCGGTCTCTGGGAATTTTCCGTTGTTTTTTTCTTTCTCTCTCCAGATTTTTTTCCTTTTCATCCAGTTCAGCCTCTCGAACTTTTTTAATAGAAGCAGCGGCGTGAGCCATTTTGCAGAGGAAATCAGCAAGAGGCAGCTGCGGTAGATAATCTCCACTCCCCAGCAATTCAGGTGGTTTTGGAGCTCGAGGGAGAGGTGTTTTCGCCACCGGAGGAATGGCAGGCAGCCGGAACACTCACAGCATAATCCGCTGCGCCCCCAAGCTGGGTGGGGACCTCCGTGCAGCCTCCGCAGCGCCCATAACTCACGCCAGCTGCCCCAGGTCCCGGGCAGGCGCGCACCTGCACACCCGGGCGC